AGATAGCCCTCGTGTAGCTTTGCGCGAAATTCAAAACAAACAAACCCTATTGTTTGCTTGTCATTTGCCTCTATCTCTATCTTCTCTCACTGATTAGCCGTGCATTTTTTGCTCCGGTAGCGAATCGCACAACATCAAGAAGAAATTACTACAATGAGAGGGCGCATCATTCCAACAGGAGCTACGCCTTGTAGGCTAAGAAAGTTACGAGGAGATAGAGTTCAGATATAGAAATTGCTAAAGAAAAAATTCTAAAGTGGCTCTGAGAAAAGTAAATGTTCTAAGGATAGAAGAAAATAATCAGAATCTAATTTTTAAACTAGTACTATAGAATAATAATAACATGAGATATGAACAACAAGTAAAAATGTAAACCTATCCTTTACTTTCAGAAAAGTTGTCGATTTCCCTCAACTTCTAATTCAATGTAAAGTGCTTGCCTTCATTGGTGCCAACGGCTAGTCCGCTACTCATTCTGTAAGTCACTTACCCTTTTAGGAAAAACATAATTGTCTTAAGACAGTCTGAAGTCTTTTTCCAAACCTTAAACTTGTGTCCTTTCGACCTATTGTCTTAAGAATACAACACAAAGAAATCGGAGGCTATTTTTCCTATCCGTTTCCCTCATAATTTTTTTATCTTATGATTTGATTTATAATTATATAAAAATTAATAAGATAAGGGTTTTAATAGGTGGACTTTAAATTTCCAATATCTATAAATTGTAGACTAGTACTTTACTCTTTAGTGGTTATGGTACTCAGCCCTTAGGCTATTAGTAGTATTAGTATTGTTATTAATATTAACGTATGACTATGATCCAAGAACATCATTTCAACAGAAAAACAAGTTTTGAGCTCAACAGCCTGTAGTACAGTTTATATGGATTGCTAGATGGTGCTAAATCCAGGATTTTGATAAAATTATTGAAAATCACACAGCTTCATAAATTTTATTATTGTGACTGAAGAGTACAATTACATGAGCAAAACATTAGGACTGTTTACATGCTTGAGGTTACCAAATTTTATCTTGAAAAACAAAAATAAACGTAAAATAAGGAAAAAGAGAAAACACCAAACCTGAGTGTTTTTGGAAGGTGACCTACATTCTTCAAGGGCAAATGGTAAGAGTCTAATCTTCAAATAAGGGAGTTAAAATAGTTTCAAGTCAATATATTATCCTTACAACAAAGAAATTGAAACAAAATATAGAAAAAACTATGAGTAACTTTACTATTTAAAAAGATACCCATAAATGTAAAAATAGAACAAACAACAGTTACAATATAAGAAAAAATTTATCATAGTACATAACTCTGTGATATTGGGACTCAACCTCGGAGCTTTTCCTAATGATTTTTTTTCAACTACACAATTATATTTTAACTTCATCATTTTTTAACACATGATGCCTTCATATATACAGGCCTAGTAAAAAATGAATATTCTACTAAATACATTTATTTATCAACTCTGGAATGGAATTTTATGATCTTAAATATCATTTTTTAATGTATATCTAATTGAACTTACTTATATAGATGAATTTTCAACTGCACAAATATATTTACAGGTGCACAAGTTATGTTCAAATGCACACTAGGAAAACCTTTGCTCAACCCTAACACCATGATATAAAAAAATCGGAAACACAAAATAATGTTTAATAGCTAAATGATAGCTATAGAATAAACTAAAGATGAAAAAAACAACCACAACAATTACAAATGGCTTCCTGATACAGAATTCTGTGTTTGTGGATTTTTTTTTGTATTTCACCATGACAAAACAGACAGGAGAGTACACCAGGTTGTTAACACACTTGATAACACTGAATTGCATTTTGTGATATATGAGGCTTACAAAATATTTGACAGTCAAATATCTACTGATCCTATATTATGGTTAAAAGGAACTAGAAAATCAAAAACTTCTTGTTCCAATTCATGTTGGAAAGGGTTCAGAGAAGAGCTGCTAAGATGATTTCATGGAAGGATTATCTTATAGGAATATGTTAAGACAACTTATTTTCTCTTGAGAAAGGAAGGTAAAAGGTGATTTTGTTGAAATTTACAAGATTATTTGGAGGACTGAAAAGATGAAGCCCTCTCATTTCTCTGTGCTGTATTCTGAAGATAGCAGGATGAGTGGGCACAAATTTAAAATTTTGAAAAGACAGGCTAGTATCCAGTTATGACTATTATTTTTTTTTAAACAGGATGATTGGCTTATGGAAAGAGTTGTTATTGGCAGTAGTGGCAGCTGGCACTTTATAAAGTTTAAGAGGGGAATTGGCACTTTCCTGAAATATATAAGGTGGGTGAGCAAGAATTGTTCTAAAGGACCAAATGGTCCCTTGTTATCCGTTTTATGTTATCATTTAGTTAGACTAATACTTTAACAATAGTATTGACTTTTAACAGATATTTCCAACCATAATGTATGTCCCTCCATATAGAGAATTTTCTTATTGTTCATTTTTTGTTTTACTAAACTTGGTTTTCACCAATTTTCTTACTATGTTAGATCAATTGATCTTAATTGTAATGCTGTTATTTTCTTATCGTAGTTTCATTAACATTTTTTGAAGTTTTGTATTAATTAATTTATATCAAATTTTGTATCAAATATCCTAGAGACTATTAAGAAAGATAGCAAGTACTACATGTGTGTAGCTCTCAGTAGAGATCTGAATCTGGTTTTTCACCTTCATTCCTTGATATCTGTAATTCTTATCATTTCATTGTTATAATTTGACATGTATCCATATTTGTAAAAATTGTGTTCATCATTGTTGATATTTTTCCTACATTACTATACATTTTTTGAACTTCACTAAATGCTTCTACATTTTCAAGTTATATTGTTACTTAGTTTTAATATATCTTGGTTTACTCTTTGCTGTTCTTCTTATTTCATTTGTAATTTTTTTCCAACATTTTTGCCAGTTTTAAAATAATTATGTAACTCCTCAATGTGCAGTCATATATTTTAGTTCTTTAGATTGTGATTGTAGGCGATCCAATCGCAGAAACATTTGACAAGAGTATATCATGCATGAGGCAATTCTATATTTTGGGGATTTATTTGCATTTTCTTTCAAGTTTGAATTTCTAAGAATATATTCATGTATACCATTATTGTGAATGGACTACCTTATGAGCCATCCCTTAGTGAATCAGTGGTAAGTATATGGACTAAAACACTAAAATACAGGGTTTGATTCTCTGCATTGAAAAGAGTACAAATAGTGTTGTGTAGTTTTGCCCCCCCCCCCAAATAAAAAAAAGAAATGAACCACTGTATAGGATGTTGCATTTTGTAATCTTTGTAACATCCATATACAGAATATCTATAAATGACCTTTTGAATGTAGGTTTTAGTAATGATTTTCTGTACATGCGCAGCTGAATGGGTTAAAATGATGACATTTAAAATATATATGTCTGTAGAATAGTTTTATTTCATTAAAAAAAGGGGGGGTTAAACCTTGCCATACATGACAGACACATCCATTCCAAGTATACAGGTGGATGTTGTTATTACAATGATGATTTTCAACATTCAGAAATAAACAATTATTTTAGAATATACATTCATGACCTGTAAGATAATGTATAGTTTGATGTTATCATACTGATGTTATTGACTCCAGCTTTTTTTGTATGATAATTTCTTGTTAACCCTCAGCTGGTAGGGTGGGATTAGAATGACCCACATTGATTTTTCAAGTCAATATTCCAACTCAGCTAATGCTGCTCTCAACTTGATATTTTCTGTACTCTGTCTCCCTATCGGTTCTTGAGTGTTGAGCAGAGCGGATGTGCTATTGCAGTTCTCTTTCTTACTGTTTATCATTTGTTTATTGTTCATTATTACCCCACTGTATTATAAAGATAATATTTTTGAAGTTTATGACACAGGGATCATGTTGACCCACCTTACCACTTATGATACAACTGTTTTAACCTACCAGTTAAGGGTTAGGTAGTAATATTCCAAAATATGTAATATTTCTATAACAGCTCATGATAATTATAGTGAAACCATGAACAAATCCACTGCATTTTCTGTTTGTTTTAGAGCAAGGCTACTTTGGGTTATCTCCTGTATTCACTGTGGGGAATCAAACCCCAGATTTTAGCTCTGTAAATCCTTAAACTTACCACTGTCTCACCAGGAGACATCATTTTCTGAATAAAATACATAAATAATTATATTGATATTACATTATGTTCCTTTGTATCTTAGATTTGAAAATATCAAGATGGCTAAAGAGGTGACGGCAAATAATACATTGCATGCTTCCGCTGCTTCCCCAGATGGAATTGCAATATTTTTTCAAACATGTAAAGAAGAACTTGAGAAATCAGGTTTCAGCATAGATGACAAAGTTGATCTTGTGTTTGGCCTGAAACAATGGCCATTAGCTCGAGGATCTCACAGGGCAGTTATTATCAAAATAAAAAATGTAGAAAAGGTTGCCTTTCGACTAGAGTTGGAAATAGATCTTGAGGATGAAGAGAAAGAATATATAGCTGGAAGTTTTGAATGTCCTGGTCTCAGCTGTGATTTTGTAACTAATTCATTTGCTGCATTGGCTTGTCATCACTTACAAAATCATAGGCTTCCGCAAGGAGATGACATAAAACACCAATGTTGTAATCAAGAATTTGAAGTATTTGAAAGTTTTTGTGCTCATGTCTACGAAACTCACAGAAATTTTAAAGCTGTAACTTTAAACTTTGAAAAGATTTTAGAGGAAAAGTATGAGAAGTTTCTGGATCCAAAGAGTGTTAAGTTTTTTCCCCAACATTTTAAAAAGTTGAGTTTTAGATGTCTGGTTGAATTAGCAGCAGATATAATCCTTAACTTTGGACGATATTTCATCTTTTTTTGGAACTGTCAGGATTTTGCCACATGGTTTTTAAAACTAGTTGGTATTCCTTTGGATGTTATTGACCCTACAATTCCTGACAAGTTAACTGGTAGCGGAAAAGACAGTAAGGCACGGGCAATCCAGGGTTTGAAGGACTGGGCGTGGTACAAGCAACCGATCCAAATACAACACTTTAAGTTAACAACCTGGAATGGTGAAGCAAGGTGCAATCATACAGGATGTGAAGTGCTACCTCCATTTTTCTTTCAAACGTTGAAGTATCATTTAGAGGCAGCACACTTATCCTAAATCATTTATCAAAGAAGAATTTTAAATATTTTTGTATTCATGAGGAACAGCAATACAATGAGCATGACTGTGTTGTTCAGATAGTATCCCTTAATAGAAGCTTTTTAAGAATTGTATTCAACTAAAAAACTAAACTGGATTTGACAATATTTTGGAAGACTTGAGGTCATATTGTAACAAACTGCAAGGATTTGTAAGGTGTCAGATTGGAATGTTGGTGATATGGTGCTAGAACTTCATTGGTTGAGCAGATTGTTGTGTATGTCATGTGTTGACCAATGGTAACAATTAACTTCTGATCTTCAAAACTGTCTCTCTGTTAGTGAATGTTTCTACTTGTTTATATAGAAAATATTCTTAATATTTTCTATCATATTTACTAACAATATTTTTTTAACTTGAAATATATTTGTGTGTTTACTTTTATGTGTTTAAACATGGATATTTATATTTCATTCTATAAAATAACATTGAGTATCTGAAGAAGTTTTCAAAGTTGTTTAAATTTTCATACTTATAAAAATATTGTTAACATATTGGCCAATTTAACTGCTATACAAAAATGCTAGGACTAAAATAAAAATATACAAGTCTTAGTGTCATGTATATTTTATGATTTTTTACAAGGTTGTTATTGACAGGTCTGAAAGTGTTATATCATTATTGTGTGTTATACAGATTACTCAATAAACTTTGCATATTCAATAATGTTTTTATAATTTTTCAGTTGAATGTAACTCCTTTAATGTTTATTAGTTTAATCTATTTGAAATCATATACAGAGATAAACATATTAATAAAATGGAAAATGTAGCTTCTATTGGCTGTATCTCATTTTTTTAAAATATACGAAAACAAAACATGAATGATTATCATCAACATGAGAAAACTTTTAGTAAAATCAATTTTGTTTGAGGTGGTTTCTGTCAAGTCAGACTTAAATAATATGCAAATAAGACTTTATCTAAGACCTTT